CAGGCTAACATCTGGCTTGGTACTTTATTGATGGAACGTAGTGAGGACATCTACCGGATGAAAGGTTTATTATCTGTTCAGGGAATGGATGAGAGATTTGTATTCCAGGTGAGCTAAGGCCATAGTCCCAATATTATCTTGATAAAAGAAAATTCCATGTTCCATATTTGTTAACTGTATTTGACTACTTAAAATTACCTTTGTTTGTTTGTGTTTTTGAACCATCACCATTAAAATGACTGTCAAAGCTTTTATTTATTTTTGTAGAAGCAAAGAAACACCAACCTTTTCTTTGTTTCTTTAAGGTTCAAATGCACCAGATGTGCATCCTTATGCTTTGTATTTGTTATAGTGTTGTCAAACGTGAAAGGCGCTAGAAAGCACCAAGCCTGGAAAATGCCCTATGCGCTAGGCACTGGGTGCACACCAGGCACTCACCAAATGAACCAAGTTGCCCAACCTATATGATATAAAAATTACATTTATAATATTATATTATGATATATAAATCTAAAATATATACCAATTGTGCTCAACCTATATGATATAAAAATTACATTTATAATATTATATTATGATATATAAATCTAAAATATATACCAATTGTGCTCAACCTATATGATATAAAAATTACATTTATAATATTATATTATTGATATATTAATCTAAAATATATACTTATTATGATTAGATCATTAGAAAATCAATAGAAAAAATAAGATACCATAATATAATCATATAAAGTTACATTTTTTCACCCTTAAAACAAAACAAAACAATTTACAGTCGTAAGTAGCTGAATAGATTAAAACACAAACTTAAATATCATCGTCATTGTTCATTAATCTTAAAAAACATCTTCGTCTATGCTTTCCTCTCCTTCACTTGAGTTTTCCATTATAATCCAAATCTTCATCACTTAAACCATACTGCACTTGTCCAAAATTAGAACTTGATCCCTCTTTATGTCTGGTTCTAGCACTTGATGTTCCTATACTCCTCAACTTTGTCTGCTGTATTGTTTCTTCAGCTTCAATTTCCCTTGCCACATCACCCCAAGTTAAATGTCTCCATCAAACACCAATTCATCTTGTACTACAATATTCTTCTCTACATTGGCACCCATCATCCCAAAAAGATTTTTTATATGATGTAACTTTGTAGAATTTCTATATGAGAAATTAAGAAACAAAAAAATGAGATGACAAAAGAAAAAAGTTAAAGGAATACCTCTGTTGTTCTTTAGTCTTCACTCTTGACTCTTCTTTCTCTTCTTCTCTGATGATATTTCATGTTTGTTTATGTTCTTGTTTCAACTTTCATGTCTGTTTCTCTGTTTTTACTTTTATGTTGGTCTCTCTTTCTCTCTCTTTTTTTACCATAATCTATGTTTTTTTACAAAACTAACCTTAAATTATTTCTTGTATAAGACTAGAAAGAGGGACAAACAAGACAACATAAGTCCTTTCTAAAAAAAAAAGTAGTAGAAATCCAAGAGACATCTCTTCAAACTAATCCTCAGTGTTAGTGGTAGATAATTTTCATTAGGCAATGCCTTTATCGGCTGCCTCCCATGCACAGGTGCTTGCCCAGGCAGTGCCTCTTCAAATTCCATCTCCTCAGGCTAAGAAAGGCGCCTCGGCCTCACCTCGCCTCTGGTGTTTAAGCTAGTGCCCGGATGGCTTGTGACAACACTGATTTGTTGTGACTCTAATTAATTGCTTGTCTGTCAAACATCGTTTAATATGCTAATGTGTGGTTCCTTGAAAAAGGACCTTGTATGGTGGGGATGCATTGAGTAAAATGAAATGCTTTTGCTTTGTTATCTGGTCATGCTTGTGTCAAATGTTGAAGTTTATTATCATGTGTCATGGTAAATTCTGTCTTGCATTTCTGAAGGTGACTTGTGTTCCACATTCTGGAAATGCGCGAGTCCTACGACCTATTTGTGCTATACAGTTCTCTATCTTGTGGATAGTTGTTGCTAAATAATCTGTTCAACATAAAATGATTTTGTATGCTGGTGGTAATAAAAGACAAAGGACTCCTGCTTTACAATATGCTCAGTTCATGATTTTTTTTTTTTTTTTTTTTTATTATTATTAACTTAAGCTAGTTTGGGGGTTGTACCATAAACTAGCGGGAATGCTTTATATAGACTGAAGGCTTGACTAGTATACAGCTCTGAACAATGCTACGTAGTTTATATTTAGGTTCTGCTATTTACTCTGGCAAGCTAGGGGTTCTGGTGTTGGCTTTGTTGCAGATTGAACTGGAATTAGATCCTAATCAATTTATCCTTTGCCTCATTTTATTTGACAGGGTGTTCATGATATATTCCAAGGTTCACCTGATCGGTTATGGGGTCCCAATGAACCCAGAATGAACAAGATTGTGTTCATAGGGAAGAACTTGGACGCTCAGGAATTGGAGAAGGGCTTTAAAGCCTGTTTACTGTGAGATTTAAAACATCAAGTCATTCGGTTAATATCTCTTTATATTGTGTTCTTGATTAGTGGACACTATGAGCGACCGATATTATTATTATTTTTTTGCTTACTTTCTTCGAGGAACAATGAGTTGTTTCCAACATGAATTTCAAAATAAAAAGACCACTGAAAAGGGATGGCTGAGCTATTTTGAATGGTGTCAGTAGTGGGATTTCTTCTTGATCTTGGAGAATGCCTGTGTGAGAATCGAGTGGCTTACTCTTGAGCTTGATTTTCATTGTTTTTCCACAGGGCTCTTGCGTTTTATGCTAATCTTTATTGGTAAACTAAAGCAGCTTCAGTAGGACCTGGTTTGCTGGTTCCATTTCGTTCAGCGGTTTTACCCATTATGGTATATTCTAGACAATTGGCTCAGCCAGGCCTTTTCTTCTTTTGGCATTAAAAAAAAAATGTTAATGCTGCTGGAAACTCTTTGGAGTGTTACGTTTAGCTTGTTAAATTTAAAACCTCTTAACCCTACTTGAATAGCTGGCTTAACATCATTTAATTAGCTCGGTGGTTTAAAGATAATTGAAGTTCTTAAAAAATTAAGATTTTTTTTTAAAATTATTGAGCTGAGGATATATTAATTTGGGATTCATGGTTTAATAAATTATAGAGTTTAATAACTTTTATTTTTTAATATTAATAATTAAATGATAATAAAAATAGTTGTTTTAAAATTTATCTAAGAATTCAATATCAAGATAGTTATTTAAAATAATTTTAAATAACATAATAAAAAATAAATTAAAATAAATTATAAATATAAATTCACTAACTCTTGACCTTGGGTGGACAATGGATGTTGTTGGGTTTAATAGGCTTTTCATGTTATTTTTTTATTTAATTACATAATAATAATAATAATAATGATTACTTATGAAATTGAGTATTTATTTAGTGTGAGGACACATAGTTATAACAATGATAACTCTATATGAAATAAATTATAAAGATTAATTTTTAATTAATATAAATTAACCCATTAAATTTATGAACTGAGTTATGAATTTTACCAGGTCTAATAATTTTATATTTCATAACTATTTTTTATTTAATTATATGATAAAAAATAAATACTAGTAAAATTAAATTTTAACAAACTATCAGGATATTTTTTGGATACCATTATGAATCTACAAAAATCTAAACGAAATAAATTATAAAATTTAATTTAAAATTAATTAAATATTAAAAGATAATGATGATAATAAGAATAAAAATATAAAATTAAAAAAATAAAATAAAGAATTAGGCACTAGGATGACCTAGAAGTAAACTCGTGTGCTTAAGTTTTTTTTTTTTTTTAGCAAGGGATAAAAAATATGTTATTTATTTGTTTTTTTTAAAAGCAAACATCATATCATTTATTGTGATAAACGATGTGCTGTTTACTATTATAAATTTTAAAAAATAAAAAATATAATTTATTTTCATCTATTTTTCTAATTAAAAACCTAAAAAACATCTTATATACCTCAATAAATCCATCTATCCATCTTTGATATTAAATTAAAACGTTAATGATAAAATATATCACTTAAACCAATGAAGGGCAACATTTCCTATCGGTTAGAGATATTCCTGGTACCACTAGATATAGTTGCATTATTATGTTGATCTACAAATCTAATAATTCAGGCTTTAAATTAGATAAACTACGATTTAATCATTAGAACACTTATTTATTGTTTACTTACAAATGAAAAAAAAAAAACCCTAGCGATCGTTATCTTTCCAAATCCATGCCGTTAAAGAGTAATTGAATAATTGATGACGACGAGGATGGATGGGGCATAAAACGCGAGCACAACGAAATTGAGAATTTAAAAAGAATAGGGGCGTTCCGAGAATCGAACTCGGGACCTCTCGCACCCAAAGCGAGAATCATACCACTAGACCAAACGCCCTCCTTCGAATCTTTTCCTCTAGTTTAAATTATGTATATATTCTGTCTAATGATGTGGCACTTTATGGCCACGTGGACCGTCGTATTTCTACCTTTTGTCTATATTTGACAATTTCAAATTTAGTTCTAGAATGCGATGTCAATTACCAAACAGTCCACAAACTAATAATATATGCCAATCCCCTCTTTCAATTACAGCAAATATGAAACAATCGACAAAATAGTCCTAATTCCTTTTGTTTTCCGGAAACACCCCCCTCTATGTACTTATATAAATTAAAATTATTCTTATAAATAAAAGAATAACTCCTTTTTAATGCAATCGACAAAATGAAATAGGAATATATAATTGAAAAAATAAGATGATTAATTAAGAAAAGCTGCTTAGATCCCTACCCATTTCCACACCTAAAATTAGAGGAGCTGGCTGTAATTAAGACTTACACAATGGCTGAAAGGATAATATGTGCTAAAAATATAATAGTTAAATTTCTAGTCTACTTTAGGAATTTTCGAACAAGATTAAAATTTCAGGACCAAAATGTACTTTTACAATTAAATTACGGCATGAAACACAGGCGCTGCTTTGAAGAAGAGAATGAGAGAACAATCACACTCCAAAAACGACATAGTTTTGATAGGAGAAAGAAAAGGATCAAGTGCACATCATGCTATGCTCTCCCAGTACCCTTTCCACATCACTAAAGGTAAGATACTTAGTGGAAGTCGTATCTTGAAGAACACCGACGAAAACATATATATATTATGCAACAATTACAAATCCTTGCATCAAGAATTATCAAGCAGGCAAGGGTTATATGTGGTTAGTTACACAGCCCTCTCATTCAATTTTTTGAAAACAATGGGTTCTGATTCTGCATCAGCAGCTTCTTGCAGCCACCTTATAGTCTTTCGACTCTTTCCATGTCCTCTTCAGACAATGCATGATCTTGATGACTATCAGTATAGGAATTCTGCCCTGCCAGTCCCAATCCTGCTTTCTGTTTGATACCATTTGCATCATTATCAGTTAGTAAGCAATCAGTAATCGATCATGTCTGTGTAATCCTTGCAAAAAGCAAGCATTCCTCAGGAACATGTATAAGAACTTTGAGGAAGAGGATTCCAGGATATCAAGATGACCTTATTCCAGGCCAAATAGTGAATACATAACACCTGATTTGGATGAGAAATTGTTGTACGTGAAACAGTTGAGAAAGAAACATTACTCAATAGAAAAAAAAAACCCTACAGGAATTCTCTAGTGTTTGGACAAGAGAGGAAATATTACCTTGAGAAATTCGACAATCGAAGATAGATCATCAGGCGATCCCTCTTCAAGTTCTTGATATTCAAATTGGAGACAATGGTGTATTGTCTGAAACTGCTGGTATATTTCAGCCACCAGTTTTTTTCTTTCTTCCATGTGCTGGAAAAACTCTTGCTTCATGGGTTCAGTTTCTTCTTCAAGAGTCTTCAATCGTTTACTTAGCTGCTTGATCTTGCCGGCCTCTGAAACTTGTTTCAGTTGTTTGCCTTCAGAAGAATCACTGCAAGCTTGATCTCTTGAAGAATTCTTTGGCGATATTTCCACTAGCTCGTTTGAACTCGCGGCCCTTGATTCTGTTAGCAGGTTCTTTCCATTCATCAATCTAAGCATTTCTCTTCTCTGTTCTTCCATTGCATCTGTACCTCTGAAATCTTTTCCAATCTCATCCAAAAGCCTCAGTCCATCACCAGCTTTATGCTTACAAATACTTGCAGGGCTCTTCAGAAGCTTGGAAAATGGAAGGTTTTTTGGCGAGGAAGAACTCTGTAACTCGAGTGCTGCGATCTGCATCTTATTGCAATGCAGAATTCCTCCAAGTTTTTGCAAGGCATACAAATTCTCAGCACCAAGTTGATCAGAAGACCATTGTTCAGTACCTACCAGGAAAACAAAGGAAAAGTTGACATGTCAGGAAGCGGCAAAACCATCAAAGAATAACCCTAAGAGCCATGCCGCAATCACCATGAGAAACCAAATAAGAGCTATAAAGGGCTTGACAATCCAAAATATAAAAACTAGAATAAAAAGAAATATTTGGGTAGACAGAGAGATTGGTTGGGGGAATACAGCAGAGTGCATGGTTAAATGATGGTTGCTTACCTGACACAGTTTCCAGGCTCGAAAACACCGAGAACATGCTTCTAGACCTCCCTTTGCTTTTCTTCCAAGAGAAGGTGAGTGTTAGGGATGCAAAGAGCGGTGCGCAGTATCTACTATCTAGGCCCTTTTGTCACAGAGAGAGAGAGGGAGGTCCATGGGAAATTGCCAAGCAGCTGCAAGAGAATGTCTTCACTCTTGATCTGCCTCTGTTGTTTAATGCAGGCGATTGCTACTTAACATGACGTGGTTAACATGTCTGCAACCTGAGAAACTGCAGCCATTTAGCAGCAATATATTTTGGCTTATTATCATATTTAGGGAGGCGAAGTTTGGCTCCATTAACGCAGAGGTTAGGTCATGTGCTTCACCTTGAAGGAAACGAAAGTAATATTTAGCAGCAACTTAGAACTTCATGTTAATATCGAAACCCTCCACCCCCCTTTTCTCCAGTAAGAGCACGTCATGCTGACGAGAGCAAAGGATTGCCGAGTTTGTTATAAATCAAAAACTCCTAAAAGATCAAGAATTTTATAGTTACAATATTTAATTTTATTGATTCATGTTTTTATATGTTAAAAAAATATTACAATTCTTTATATGAATAATACAGGATAGGAAAAATAAAATAAAAAACCTATTCCTTTCAAATAAAAAAACTAGAAAATAATAATAATATAAAATAAAAAAATAAAATTAACTAAAACAAATATTTATTTTTATTAAAAAACTTATGCAACTGTCACTCTTTGATTGAAAGCAACTTATCCTGGTGTTCAAACCTCAACAAACATTTTTATACATGTCATTTATACTATTTTAGATCTTTAATAGATTTGTGTTCGCTATTTTATCATAAATCTCTAATATAGTATTTATTTATAAATCATCTCATTATAAATTTATAACATAATATTTTTATACGGGTCATCCCATCGTGAATCATATCAATATGATTTTCAATAACAATAATTGACAAAGATAAAAATAACACTTTGATTTTTAGATATTTTTTTATAAGAAAAGTCTCTCCATCCCCTTCCACACAAGCAAATCATATTCTATAATTTCTTTCGACCATTATTATTTAACAATATACAACAACTAACTATTAAAAATCATTGAGCTCTAATACATGTTTATTTATGACCTTTAATAAAAATCATCAAAAATAATTAATTTTTTATACCAATTAATATATAACTTTAATACCAACTAACTTAGATAGGGTTGGATGATATTATGGTTTGTTACAAGTAAAAATACTTAAAAATGAAAAAAACCATTGCTATTGTTATGATGAACTTTTAAAATACTTAATTTTATTCATTATGTCCTCACTTGCTAAACAAAGCACTTATAATAATATTGGATAAGAAGAATAAAATAAAAAAAACTATTCCTTCCAAATAGAACAAAAAAACTAGAAAAACATAATAATATAAAATAAAAAATTAAAATTAATTAAGAAAAATTTTTTTTTTTCTAAAAATTTTCCTACAGCAGTCTCCTCTGAGTTAGAAGTAACCTGTCCTACTACTTAAACCTCAACAAACATCTTTATATATATGATCCACTCTATACTAAATTCCTAATACATTTGTGCTCGCTATCCTATAATGAATTTCTAACACAATACCTTTGTTTTAGTCATTTCATCACAAATTGATAACTTAAACCTTTGTAAATTTATAACATAAAACCTTTGTACAGGTCACCTATTCTAAATCCTAATATTAGAATTTTCAATAACAATTAACTCAAATAGAAACAATTAATTAATTCTTAAATATATTCGGTGACTTCTTCCAACATTCTTCCAACAATGATTTTTCAACATCACACACATAACTATTAATAATCATTGGGATATAATACATGTTCCATACAATCTCTAATCAAAATCATTAGAAATCATTAAGCTCCGATATTAATTTACATATAGTTTTAATACCAACTAATACAAACAAGAATAATTAATAGCAAAGTTTATTACAAGTCAAACCACTTGAAAGAACAACATCTTTGCTATGAGAAGACTTTCAAAATACTTAAAAGACTCGCAACCTTTTATATATAAAAACTATTCCTTTCAAATAAAAAAAAAAACCTTAGAAAATATAACAATACAAAATATAAAAAAATTAACTAAGAAAAATATTTATTTAAAACCTTCAATACTAGCAGCAACCCTACAAACCCCCAAACCTTACAAACTATACAAATCCTTTCTGAATAAAACGCAAGGCACCAGAACAAGAATTTGTAAACTGCTAAATGCTGATCATACCATTAGAGACTGGAAAATTTCATTGTGATAACGAACCATTTACAAGGAAGCCAAAAGATTATTCCAATACACAAGGCTGCTCAAGATTATTCCTCAAGGATATAAGACATTATTACAAGTGTGTGTCATGCCAATATTACTTGCAGTCCTCCATATACAATGACTGTAGTAGAGGGTCGTTTTCCGTACATTCAGCATGGAGAGACTGCTGGGTTGCTCAGTCAACTGGGACTTCGACCTCCAGTTTTAGGCCAGAATTTCCAAAAACCTGCCTCGCATACAAAGCAAAATCCATCATTGAATAGCTCAAAAGATTATTGCAAGGAACATGTAGACTGGATCGGATCATTTAGGTGGGTTTCTTCTACATGAAATTACCAGATACGATGATCTTAACTTAGCATCAAGCTCATGCGTGTCGATAGAGAAAACATAGAAATTTTAGAGTGGGACAACTGAAGAAAACCAAGCATTTTTGTTCTTCGACCCTTGGTCGCTTTTTCAGTCAAAAGAGAGTAGAAAAAGAAAAGAGTAAATAATAATAATAATAATAATAATAATAAAAAACAATTGAAGACCTAAAACTATATACAAGAACTCTAAGATGAAATGTGAACTGCTGCGTTAGTCTAGCCTCTATTACAGGTTTTCTCACATCAAAACTTCACTAAAAGCAATAACAGCCCCCACCCTCTTCCTCCTTTCCCACAAATAAATAATATAGAATAAATTAAAAGAAGAAAAAGAAAACTGAGACATGAAAATTCCAACCCATTCTTAAGATGGCTAAAAGTATTTGCTAGTAGAAAATACAATAATAATTAAAATTCACTACTGAGAAAAGAGCATCCTAGCCAATGACCACCCAAGGTCTCTAGAAAGAATACAGGAATAACTGCCAGAAAAACAGCACTCGAATGAACAGCATGTGAATAGACAGTTACAGACAGCAGGATGGCTTGTAAGATCAACAGGAATTTCATGCTGTATGAGCCCTGAATACCAAAGTTGTTAAGATAGTACGATCTCTTTGTGCTTATCAGGGAATGCAGCGGCATTACACAATAATGCAGTTTGAACTATCTTCCAAACATTGATATTTATAGCAACTTTTAGATTCTAAGATTCGCACTGAATTATTCTGTAATTTTCTAAGAATAAAATATCAGTTCTAAATCCCTTATGAGGTCACAAAGGCCTTTCCACCCCCCTGAATTATCTTACCCTTGTATTCATAAAAATCAGCTAATGCTAGCAAACGCATGTTTTAACAAGGTACAGAAGATAATGTAATATGTAGCTTTCATGTGGATGATCCTTGCAACAACTCTTTATTCTACCAGTCAAAATAAAATTAATAAAATTTCATTTCTAACCTATTGGTGCTCATAGAGATGCATGTATCCTCACTCTCTTTGACCCTATTCTTTTGTTAGTCAATAAGAAGTAAATCAAATTAATTAATTAAATTTCATTTAATTGTAATAAGAAATACTGTATTCTAGGCAATTATGTTAGCAGAAGAAAAAACAAATAAAATGTAAAACACCTTAATGAAGTCATCCAGCATTAAATATGATTCCCTTGTGTAACCAGCCTCCTTCAAAACTTGGATCAAGACTTTCTGCAGGACAAATGAGAGAAAGTGTAAGGAATTAATTATGCTAGTGTGATATCTGAAGAAACAGTGACATGTTGCAGCAACACAAAATTACTCATGCTATGTTTTTACCTAAAATAGTAGCCAAAAAGGTCCAGATAAATACCAATATATTAACAAAATAGATGCTAGCATATAGATGATTCCCTTGTTCGAACAAATTGCAAATTTCAAAATAACCAGGCATAAAGAAATATTAAATCAAGCGGAAACCAGCATAAAACATGATGGTCATCAGCCAGACAGTCATTGAATTAACTCCTTTCAAATAAGTCATGACCTGATCATTTCATCCCTTGATAACAAAGACACCATCTACAATAACTCCCAAACATTCATGTATAATGTCTTTCATAAATGATTTCATGCATTATGAACTTTCAGGATATTTGCTGCAAATATCAAACCTCAAATCTTATGGTGTTGCAAATAGCAGGAATAGATAACTGAACAGGAAGTGTTTGGTTATACCTCTCTTTGCTCATTGGACATGAATACACCAGATAAATCCTGAAGAACTTCTAGCATGTCGTTGAAAGATATTTTTCCATTCCCGTCCGAGTCATATACTTTGAAAATAACTGGGACAAAGACATTCAATGATATTAGTATAACACCAAAAACAGCAGAACATTTACCTTTCTTCAGAGTGAGGACAATAAATATTCTCAATCAACATAGAAATGGCAACCCAAAATGAAAGAATGGCAGGGGTAAAAGTACGCGTAATGCTGGCCTAACTGGATAAATTCCATCATATTAACAGCTAATTCCTCTTTTTTTTTTTGGTCCATCACAAAGCTCTCAAAACAAGTTTAACATGACTAATATGTCTTACAAGTCACCACATGCTTTCTCTAGTCCTCATAACACATCTACAAACTATTTAGTTTACTCCCACCTACAAGGTAAAACCAATAGAAACAAATCATCATGAATAAGTTGTGATCAAATTCAAATATTGTAAAATCAAGGTATCAAATACTTACGTGCAATTTTCTGCTCCATATTTGCTTTAGCAGAGAAAGCAGATAAGAAGGCAACGAAGTCCTTGAAGTTCAAACCATCAAGCATTTCAAGCAGCCTCTGCAAGAAGCCAGAAATCCACCCATGCTCTCAACATAAAATGAACAAAGAAAAAAGGAAAAAAACATAAATTCAATATCCAGTTAGTTCTCCATTAATTAATATAAACTTGTGCCAAAAAGATTACCTGAGAGAGTGGATTCATTGCAAACTCAGGCACTGATAAGAATTCATCAGCTGAGATAAACCCCTTTGCATTTCGATCTAGCTGGCAAAACCTTTGATACAGTGACACTATTTCTTGCTGGGAGACTAAATTCCTCGATAAAAATAAAAACACCAAATTGAGAGCTAAAAACATCAAAATAACATAAGTAAGGAGACGGAGAAACAATACAAGGAAAAAACAACATTACATAGATTATGGCAGTGTAGTTGAACCTCTTCTAAGTCATACTGAGTTAGCATTGACGAGGCAGTCCCCATTGAATCTTCACCAAGAAAAAGAAAAAAAAATCAACAAATTTAAATAAAGAAAAGGACCATTTCTCATAGATAACAAGTTACCGATACCCATTAACCAAAACACAAATTTCAAGCCAGTAATAATCATATAAATCATACCCATAAAACCCCAAATTGGAAATTCCAACAAATATTCAGCTCGTCTTTTCATCATTTATGATTCAGTAAAAAACAAACAATTCAGACCAAGAATCAGTATACTGAGTTTAAAGCATGAAACCTTTTTCCCAGCAACCAAACAAGCAGAACGAAAAGAGAGAGACCTGGGAGTGAAGCAGAGATGGGTGAAGCGATTGGAGGGTGCAATGGACAGAGAGGATGATTGCGGAGGCGTGTGTGTGTGTGTGTCTAGAAGACAGGGGAAGGGAGGGGAGGAGCAGGGGAGGGCAGAGATGGCTTTTTAGGTTTATTTTACCTGGTCATCATCGATGCTTGAAAACCCGACAGGATTTAACAAAGCATCATTATTCCATTCCCCTAATTGACTGACTGCTTGCTGACGAGGAATTTTATGTTCATGCTAATCCCCAGCTACATATGAGCAGCAGCTCACTATGTCTCTAACCATTTTTTTTAATGATAAATTTATTATATAATTGAAAAAAACTAATTCTCCTGGAAATATTTATTCAATGACGAAATTACCATGGCGAAAATACCTTTCAACTATATTGGAGTTATATGATATTTTATGATATTTTTATCATCACATAATTATTTTTTATATATATGTGTAGGATTATTTAGCCATTAAACATAGTCTTTTACAACATTTAAAAGATCTTGATGATTTTAAAATGATGAGGTATTGTGTCCTGAATGCTTCTAAAATTTGGTGTAGATGGACATTTTTTTTTTGCCACCTAGATTTCTTTGACAACCCTTTAAAAAATTTCAAAATAGTCCTTACAATTTATTTTTTTCTCATATTTGGGATTTGTTCTTTTTATTATTATTATTTTTTAAATTTTGAATAGTCTATCAAATCATAATTTTTTTTTAAATTTCATTTTGATTTTTAATCTTTCAAATTTAATCTTTATTCTTTTTATTGTTATTTCTTTTGTTTGGATTCATTTATAAAATTATTATTTTATATATAATTTTATCATTCTTGAGTTTTTTTCTATCAAATTTTACCCTTGTTATTTTTTTATTATCCTTTTTTTTGTAAGTTTTTTTAGTAATATTTTTTCACGATTTTATCTTAAAAATTAAATTATTTGCGAATTATGCTTCTTCATTAAACTTGGATTTGGTATTTTATATATTGTGAGTTTTAGAGATAAGACTAGGTTTATAAGGCTCACCCGAGCTTGCTTTTTTTTTTTTATTTATTAAAGTGGATTTTTCTTTTTAGTTTTACTTTGTTCTTTTTTATTGTTTGCCATATATGGAGTTAGTCTTAGATTCATAACTAGGATCACCAGTTTTGAAGGTTAACACATGTTAAATTTTTATTTTTTTATCATTTTTAAATTGATTTATTTTAATTTCATCATTCAATTTTTTTATGAGATTATCTCAATCTTATGTTTATGGTCATGGATTATATGAGTTCACCTGGTTTAACAAGGTTTTTCTATTGTTTTTTTTCCTTGTTTTATTTATTATTGTTGTTGTTTTTGTTTTTTCTTTCATGTTATTTAAATTATTGATTGAATTAATGACTCAAGTCTCAAAATTTTTTACCATATCATTCTTTTTTTACTTAATTTTTTTTTTTGCATAACTCATGATGGTGCTTGGGAAACAAATCTAGTATATTTTTAAATTAGTATATGTTAACCAAGATTAGGTTTGTTTTACAAATAATTTTATTTAATATATCTTTTTAAATATTAATTTTAAGGTAGACAAGGATATCTTCAATTAAATGAGTTTTTGTTATATATATATATATTGTAAAAAAAAATAAAGTTTGAAGGTCATTTAATGACTTGATTATAGATTCTCAGGACCAAAGACCAACTTGTAAGTGACGTGTAATTTTAGGATAGAAATTAGTCAAATCAAGGACCAAATTAAAAGGAATTGAAAATTTGATTATCATTTAATGATGAAATTAAACAAATTGAAAACCGAGGACTCGTCTATAGAAAACGCTAAACTCTAAAGCTGATATTTGAATTTGACAGGAGTGCAATTGCATATAATAAAAGTTGTGAGACAATTATAGGTGAAATTAAAAGGAATGGAAAGAGTAGAGACCAAATTAATATCGGCTAAATCCAAAATTAAAAAAACTCTAATTCTTAGGGTTTAACCTAGACAACATGTTATTCACCCACTGTTTATCTATTTCATTAGAAATTTTAGATGATTAAGTAAACATGTTTAGGCAAACAAATGTGGTGTCTCCAACCATCTAAGGAATTATAACTACCATCAATTAAATTGAGAAACACCCCATCTATAACCTCATGCCTATAAAATTGGATATTTACACCCCAATTCTTTTATAAAAGTCTCCAATATCTTGTTCTGATTAGCTTCTTTGTATTATTAGATTTTGGATTGATCAAGTTGGCATATTTGAACAAATGAATGTGAAGCTACGAACCTCTAAATTAAGCAAGGTTGGATCTAAATGAAATGTGTACACCTCATATACCAACTTCAGGTGGTTTTCAATGACATTTACATTAGAGTTGCTTCGAAGAAACCTTGAAAATGGTCAACCTAATCAACCTTGATAGTAACATCTATTTTTCAAAAACCACCCTTTTTTTCTTGTTTTCATACTTAAAGCTTCTCAAAGAGTTCTTATTAATCCCTTTAAAGCTTCTCTTTTAAAATCAAAAGGCCACAAATAGTTCCTTGCCCTTCAAGTCTAGCAAAACCATTAAATACCCCTAAAACCAAAATAACAATTGCAAAACCAACCTAGTACAAGAGCTTTTAAATATTAGCTTTTGTCCAAAACCCTCTTACTTTGATTAAAGGGGTAAGCTTTGATCAATCTTTGAAGGAATCCACTAAAAAAACCTAGAAAAACCTTATAAATACCCCTTGAAAATTAGAGGAGAAAGAAAGGAGAAGAAAAACTTATGGAAATACTCTGTTAATAGACCTAACATAGAAGGTCTAACAAGCTTTGGAAAGAAAAGAATTGAAAGGGAAAGAAGAAAAGAAAAGAAAAGAAAAAACAACAACCTATAGTTAGCAAACTTAGAGAAGGTATAACAATGTATAAACTTAAGGGTGAAGTCCATATGGCTTTTTCATTCATGTTTTCTTAATGTTTAAATCTTTTTTAATTTTTTTAATTTTTTTTAATGTTATGATGTTTTCTAGTTTTGTTTTGATTAATATGTTAAAAAAATATTTTTATTCTTTAAATCTAGTTTAGAGTTGTTGTTGATGTTACTAAGTATCAAAACAATATGTTTATGACTAATTTAGATAAAATAAGATAGTTTTGGATTCTACCAAAGGGTGACAATGGATGTTTGATGTCTTTTTTATTTTGATAGTGTATGCTTTTGGTTTCTTAGCATGATTTGGGTTCCAAGTGTTCGAAAAGTCAATTTTGAATTGAATTTTGATGTTTTTATTGGCTATCATTGGGGCTATAAGTATGAAGTTGGAATTTAATATATGTTTGTGATAATTTGATATTTTTTATTAGTTTTTTGGATTTAATTATATTTGGTATTGATAATGTAGTTTGTAAGGATAAAAAATAGTGTGTTTAGAGGCTTAAAAGGCTAAATTTAGGTTTCAACGTTAATTCTTCAAGTTCTGGAATTTTTTTAGATTCTAGGTTCATGCTCTTTACATGAACTTTGCCTAACCTCTTGTTTTTGAATTGTTTTGGGTTAATTGTTGGCACAAATATGTTAGTTTGTCATCTTTACCAAATAATATAGGGTTAAAATGCATCAATAACATTTATTCATGCATTTAGATTATAGGATTCTTTCGACTATCCAAATATATTTTGATCAAATCATGGTGATTGTTAATTAAAGAAAATGAATGTTTGATTATTGATTTATGCATGATTACAAACAAAATCTTATCTTTTATTGCACAAAGACTTCTCTTATTTGTTATTTGTGTTTGTTGGGTTTCGGTTTGAATTTTCATCATGTTCTTGGTATTTGATATATTTTTGTTATAAATTTTTATGTTTTTGTGTTTTTTTAGTTTTGATCTATTTTTAGTTTAATTGTATGTTTTGCTTAGTGTCGGGTCAAACCATAGTTCTTGGTTCAATTCAGGGTTGAACCAATGTTTTTGAGTCAACCCGATTGATTTTTAGGTTAGGTACAAAGGTTTTGTTTGGTTTGTTACTATTTTTTATAAGGAATTTTTTTCCTAAGGCATTGTTCAACAAACACACACTTAGACGTATATTGATAGTTTTGAATAAAAATGATTTTTTTCCCATAGGCTCCTAATAAATTCCAAAAAATACAAAAAAAAATAAAAATTCAAAGACCAATTTAAAATTATTTATGGGTCCTTCTCATGTTTGTTTTGATAATTTTATTTAATATTAAGGTTGTAAACTCATACTATAAGATGTTGACCCAGTATTAAAATACTCGTTTTTCATCGAAAACCTCAAATATCTCTATAAAATTCTCTCTTAAAAAAATACAAAACAAATATGTTTTATTTGGTATGCATACAGCTAAGTCTCTTAAAAAAATAAAAAATAAAACATATTTTGGCTTAAAAAAAAAATACATGTTATGATTTGGAAATTTTTTTATATACAAAAAATTAAAAATATCTTTGCATATATTTGTTGGATTTAATAACTAGTTTATTGAATTCATGAGAACTTGACCAATATTTCCAAAACCCTAATTTTTTTTTTAGAATTAATGGTTAACATTATATATGAATATTGGACATACAAATAGATTGATATTTTAATACTACGAGTTGATTAAAAGATTCTCAAAATTATTTTAGATATTTATAAATTTTAATTGAGAGTATTGTCACAATGATATACGAGTTGTGGAAAACCTTTGTCAGCGCATCTATATGAATTTTTTTCTATGAGAATTTATGTGAGTATACGAGCCTATAATAAATTCTAAATACTAGATTTATTCAAGAGAGTAAATCTTTCCTTTAAGACATAGGTGAACCATCAATTAGAAACACATCAATATCTTTAAGTCATATTTAAAACAAACAATGCAACTTACCTCAAGTAAGGTATGCTAGGGGTGCTACTACATTCTCTAGCTACAACTAGTTTTCTATCTTAGAATTTCATATAAGACCACTTTATTGGGTCTTCTAATAACCTTGAATCAAGTAATTGGGTGCCAACTTCTTGATCCTGGCATTCCGCCATGTTATGTGCGCATGTGCGACAACACTTTACATCACTCTAAAAATAAGTCAATAAAAAAGGTTCAAGTATTTACAAGATTACCATTATATTTGATATATATTTTGACTAAAAAACCCCTAGTGCAATAAAATAAAAAAAATGCAACTGAATAAAAAATAGCAATCTAGTAATTATAGCATGCTTTCAAAACTTGAACTTTCATGAAGCATTTTAATCGATGTGATATATGGATACACTCT